TAGAACCGACCTTCCCAGGCTAATACCAGAACAAGACCAGAGCTCGTGTAGAGAGCTGTATTCACGTCAGCCACGTGCGGCGTGCAGTCCGGAAGAGAAAACTAATTCAAGTCAGGTTGACCTTGATTCGATAAAAAGTGTAGCAAAGCAAATGTTAGTGAATAACTGTAAATAGCATCAGAAACTAATCTTGGGGAATCGTGGATCCCCAACAGAGTCATACATGCGTTAACATCGAGACCTATGTGTGGGGATACTCCAAGATGAATATTCGTGTTAATGAAGAGGGAAAAGTGAATTCGCGCTGCTGGCGACCAGCTGCGACAAGGGAAACCCTGTGTAGGAGGTTTAGCGACCGGATTAAGTGGTTGAAATAACAGGATTCACGTCAATGCCAACAGTTTAAATGCATGCGTATGCACACTTTTTAGATGTGTGTGCTAATTACTTTTATCTGTAGTAGCTGTGGGCCAATAAACGTCCCTTGCAGGTTAGAGATGGGCATTAATTTGATTTGACAAAAAAGCATTCCTTGCTATTTGAATCGTATACAGGACATATCACTTCCAAATATTAGGTAGCCAGACTACATATGTATTTTACGAAACGAGATGCTAAGGTAACCCTTATTGTGCTTTGGTAGTACCGAAGTTTAACAACGTACTGTGATGCCGACTGAATTTGAATAATGCTAATGTCTTTGAGGCTCGGTTGGTAACTAAAAAGTCTAGTTATTCAAAATAGCCATGAACGTCTAGGGTTGCAAAGAATTTCAGATGTTTTGGTAGATTTTGGTGTTGCCTAGTCCTCTTTAAGGCTGGTTAAGGAATTAGAATACACATGAAATGAGGCATTGGGTTTCACTCATTGAGTGACATTGCAAAGGTTTTACATGGGATTGCGGAAAGGACACCACTGCACTAAATATACTAGTCTATATTCCACAAAATTTAATAGCATATAGCTCTGTTGTGAAAAAAAATCACATTGGTGGGCACTTCGGGGTGAAAAGTTGATTGAGTCGCAAATTTAATGCTGATTGTCATGCTAAAATAACGTGAAAATATTTGCTAATTTTTGCGAACCATTTTAGGATAGTGTGGGAACACTACGACTCTTAACTGATCGTGCTGCACGGGATTTAGGCTACACTTACACATTTGAATTTATTAGGACATAGTGAATTCATTATTGTGACTATTAAAAAACACGAGTCATTGCATGTCGTCATATAAAATGGGAGGCAGTGCTGGATTTCACTAAAGAGTTAGAGGTCTCTGTTTCAGTCAGTGAAAGCGGTGTGAGAAGGAGATCTGTCCTTAAGGTGATTAAATAAGTACAAAATAAATTCTAAGGTAATGCATTGTAAAACTTGTGTCATTGATCAAATCATTGATTCACATTTGCTTATCAATAGATTGTAATGTACCAGTTCAACTGAACGCCGCTGACTTGGGCTTATTTTTGTTTTGAAAAGTCAAAGTCTTAGTAGCCCCTTCTCATTCATTACTTTGTCCGATGGTTCCTGCATGGGTAGAACCTAACAATGGGCTAGAAATTGCAGTGCCAAACGACTGCAAGGGTTGTTCTATAGTCATCTGGGGTGATCCATTATATATTGTTTTCCGTCCTGCTACGGGGCAAACAAGAATTGGGAGAACAAGAAGGAAGGGCTTTAACAATCTATAGGCTCATGTGGTCTTCGAAGTCATGCTGTGAATCGCATTGGTGTTTTTACATATGTCGTTTGCACAAGGTCTCCCTAGGGTGTTCGGTTTGGAGAGCATAAGTCATTTCAGTCATATATCTGCAAACTTTGGTTGCTTTTTGGAAGAAAATGGACCCAAATGTCCTAACTTCGTCGTCTGTTTGGGAGGTTAATCGGTCCCTTTTTACATTCGTGATGTTGGTTACTCAATAACAACACTTTATATAGAATATTGTTAAACACGCTGACGTTGGGTGCATTCTACTCGAGTATTTGCATGAGTATCAAAACCGTCACCTAAAAACAAAATCCCAGTCTAAGTTTAAGAAACAGAAACGAATCCTTTAGTGCCTCGTCTCATGGTGCGTGGCTCATTGTAAAGATGCCTCCATGATGTTAAATATACTTCGCGGATATCCGTATCTAATTCACAGGTGTTTATCACATTTGCCTGTCTGCAAAATTCACCCAATAATTACGTGTTCAGATAACACGGAGTAATATATCTACAGCAGCATTTTAGCTTTTTCAATTTATGTCTATTCATAAACGTTTGATTGTCACACTTAATTACTTTCGCAATCAAATATTTTTGACAAATTAGGTAATTGTCACTTTCAATCCAAATTCCCATAAAAATACAAATTAAACCCCCACTTATTTTAACAGATCAATTAAGGACCTTTAATAGTAGAGCGCTTGGGTATTAGTAAGCTTCTAGTTCTCAGCAAGTAGGCTGCATAATTGGAAGAAACTAAAAAGATTGCAGACGACATTTGATTACAAGGAATGCTTGTTTGAATTCGTCGAGGATACAGTTAAGTGCATACAATTTTCATTCGAATACCGTGGTTTTAATGCTATTATCCGCATTCCTACGTTTTGATTGGCAGATACGGTTTTGAACATCTTTGTTCAGTTTTTTCCTAATGTTAGTATTGATGTTATGCTAAAACTTGTGGAAATCATTCTTACATAGCTCTTACATCAGGGGATTTAGCCTACTTTTTTTAACCTATTTGTTCTTTTACACATTTTTATCCTAGCGTTGTTCCTGAGTCCAGTTTTTCGTAAATGGATTACGTCGAAGATCAATCCCTTATTGACAGTGAAAGAGAATATGTTGAGTTTCTTGATGAATCGGTTTGTTTATTATTATATATCACTGTCCGGGTCTCAGGATGTTTACAAAGATCGTATAATTGATGTGATTAATAAAAACAAGTCGCGTTTAATAATCAACATAAACGATCTTCGCCGAGAAAATCCGAAAAGAACTGAACAGTATTTTAAATCGTTAACTTTTTTACTAAAGACTTTTGTCTAATTCATTCGCTGAATTGCTCGCGTGCCAACGTGCTATTAAAAGGTGTATCCAAAATGCTGATCCTGATTTCGCTCTCAAGCATGCCGAATTCTTCGTGGGCTTTGAGGGGAGGTACATAGCCTTTTAATATATCCAACTTTTAGCTTTGGAGCCCTACATGTCTCTCCGCGGACGCTTTCGTCGAGCCTCCTGGGCCGCATGGTCTGTGTCGAAGGAATTGTTACCAAAAGTTTGTTCGAGGTTGCTAGTGTAAATTTATTTCAGCATCCGTTGTGAGACCCAAGATTGTATGTAGTGTCCATTACTGCCCCGCAACAAAGAAAACCGTTGAGCGGCGCTATGCTGATATGAGCAGTCTTGACGCCTTTCCCTCTGCGGGTGCCTACCCAACTAAAGATGAAAGTGGCAACTTGTTGGAAACCGAGTATGGACTTTCGGTTTATCGAGATCACCAAAAAATCACCATCCAAGTAAGAATGTCACTTTTACACTTCTATACCATATTGTAGGAAATGCCAGAAACTGCTCCAGCCGGTCAGTTACCAAGGACCGTTGATGTCCTGCTCGATAATGATCTAGTTGATACCTGCAAGGTAGTATAACTAAACCCAATCGTTCTACATTTTTGAATCGTTTGGCTTTAAATTTGATGTCTTTCAGGCTGGTGATCGCATTCAAGTTGTCGGGCAATTCCGTTGTCTTCCTGGTAAAAAGAACGGATATACCTCTGCGAGTTTCCGTACTGCACTTATCGCGAACAACATTCAACTCTTTAATCAACAGTCAGAGCCTACCTTTTCAGATAAGGACATTGGCATGATGCGGCTAATTTCTAAGCGCCATGTTAGTGTTGTTTTAGAATTTTCTTAACCTTTTTACTCTATTAACTACGGAGGTACTCTCCATGTCTCGCAGGATATCGTGGATTTGTTGGCTCGCTCGTTAGCGCCGTCCATCTATGGTCATCACTACATAAAGCAGGCGATCCTTTATTTGCTCCTGGGTGGTGTCGAACGACTTTTGCCAAACGGTTCACGTATAAGAGGCGACATCAATTTGCTCCTTTTGGGGGATCCTTCTGTCGCTAAGTCGCAGTTTCTGCGATTCGTTCTTCATGTCGCTCATCTGGCCATCCCGACGACAGGTCGTGGCTCCTCAGGCGTTGGCTTAACTGCTGCCGTAACTACTGACCACGAAACCGGCAAGTTAACACTTTTTCGTTAAGGAAGGCGTATGAGTGCAAGTGCCAAGTATCTCTCTTGAAATCAACTCCTCAACTATATGTATTGTGTACCCATGTATCCTTGCGGCCTTCGTAGATATTCGAAGCTGCTGACACGCTTAAATGGCACAAAACCCTTATCCAGCGACTTACTAGTGACTATAGCTGTGCGATCTCTGACCTCTGAATTGCTCAGAGCTCTAGTGGTTCACCCAAAGTATGTTCGAATGCCATTGTGCCTCTGTAGCATGCTTTCGACTGCCTTGCTATGTCAGCTTGTCCTCATAATTAGCACTTTATCTCCTACTAAGCTACATTAATGTGTTGCTAAAGCCAGTGTCTTGGGCCTACAATTTTGTTCAGACTATTATAGCGTCATATCAGTCTTATTTACTGGGATAAACCTTCCCTTCGCTTCGTAGGTTTTCGCATGCTTGTGATCTCTTTGTTTTCTCTCATCGGGTTTGTTGCTTTCGATTGACTTGTGATTTTTGGTTTTAGGTGAGCGTCAACTTGAGGCCGGTGCAATGGTCTTGGCAGATCGTGGTATTGTTTGTATCGACGAGTTCGACAAAATGTCAGACACAGACCGCACTGCGATTCACGAAGTCATGGAACAGGGTCGTGTGACAATTGCAAAAGCTGGTATTCAGGCGCAGTTGAATGCCAGGTGCTCTGTTCTGGGGGCTGCGAATCCTGTTTACGGTCGTTATGATCAGTACAAAACACCAATGGAAAATATAGGCCTGCAGGTGATTGTTCTATCACTACTCATCCTATCAGGAACGATTGGTTTTAACTAGGAATTCATGCCCGTTGGCACCAGTTCTCATTGTGTGGGTTTCACTGGGTACTGTTATGTCTCCGACGTTTTTGTGTCCCACACCTGACTTACAAACCCACAAATGTGCTTTCTCTTACGGTAGTCTTGAACGTCATTTGATTTTCAGTTTCTCTGTACCAAGCTAATTTTTCCTTCAAGTAGGTTTCCGCTTTAAACTAAGCCAGTATGGTAAAGGATGCTTTTGTCACAGATGTCTTGTTTGCAACGTTTATTCCTACTTATAAGCTAACAGTAGAAGGTATAACGTTCTCTCACCAGGATTCACTCCTCTCCCGCTTCGATCTCCTATTCTTGGTGTTGGATAAGGCGGACCCTGAAAGTGATCGTGGTATTGCCGAACACGTACTTCAAGCACATCAATATCGTGCACCAGGTGAGCAGGAGGGTGAAGCTATGCCTCTGCAGGACGGTAGTGTCCTCCTTGCCACTTGTAACATGGATCCCAACACGATCGCCGAAGCCGGTTCTGCAAACGATATTGACGCAGAAGAAAGACGCAAAGAATCCGCTGACCAGGTTTTTGAAGATCAGTGTGGTTTTGGTGGTGGTGTAAAAGGCTCCAGAAACACGTAAGTTTTTAATCTCTACCGTCGCAACTTCGTCTCCCAATCTAGTAGTCAGTAGAGCCAGTTCACGACTCATTTACAGTATGTTTATCGGCCTACGAGTCCTGTAAACTGTGAATTGACGCTGTATTGAGATTTACGCTTAGAGACATTCTATTTGGGCCTCTATGTGGACACTGGATACCCGGGTTGATCAATATCGATATGTTGCCGTGCTTATCTAAGTTTATCACCCGATCGACTGTGTCCTAATCTTTAGTCACCGTATTTTAACAGACTTGCCTGTGTAATGGAATTAATGTGACTGTCGCAATAGTAATTCATTTGTCAATTTTACACGTGCAAACTTACGCCCTCTTCAACCACAAATATTTAATGTAAACCAATCAGGATTTTCGTTTACTTGCCTTTTGTCTATCGAGATTTTTCGTGTACGTAAACTTGGTTAGGATATCATCTGTATAATTGTGGTAGTTGCACATCAAATATCCTCAATGACACTTAAAAGGCCAAGCTGGCTCATTTAGTTATGCATTGCTATGAGTTAAGTTGGAAATCTACGAATGAAATGTGCTCTACTTCTACTGGGAGAAACGTATAACTACTCCTTATATTCTTAAACCTGGGGACCGATCACTTGCTGTTTTTTGTATCGATGGTAAGCTCTTTTGCTACTTGGGGCTACTTGGAAATGTAATTGTTGTGCAGGACGATGGCTCCTCTACGAAGTTTACTTATTTTCGTGTGCACCCCGTAAGCATTGTTTGAGGTAAGCGTGCTCATTACTGTTTAATTCATTGCATTACAGTGAATACTTCACTATAAGCTTCCTGAAGAAGTATATTCACATCGCTCGTCAGCTGCGCCCTCAGCTGAGCAAGGAGGCGGCGACCATTATTTCAGAAAAGTACTGTGACTTGCGAATGCAACAGGATGCCGAAAACTCAACCATGCGTCGCACACAACCAGTCACTGCTCGTACCTTGGAAACCCTTATTCGTCTAGCTACGGCAAACGCCAAGGCTCGAATGTCCAAAACAGTTACAAAAAAAGATGCCGATGCTGCAGTGGATCTAATTTCTTTCGTTCTCTTTAAAGTAAGATTCCACATAAGTATAAATTGTAATAACTCTAATCCTTTTTCGACTGTTTGATAAATGTGCTATTATCTGGTAGTTTCTCGTGGCTTATGTGGGTCCCAAGTCATGTGACCTAGTTATCAATCACATTGTAACTCAACGAAATGCTTACTTAGACATTGAATGCACAATAATCCAAGCCACAACAGCTTATTTTATAGAGGATTATCAAACAGGTTTAGTGGTCAACAGCAGGTAAGTGAAACGTCCTTAGAAAAGTTCTCGAATGCTCCTTACTAACCATGTGCAAACTTCCCTAGTTCGGTGATTTAATTTCTAAAAAATATCTTGCACGAAGATGTTGTTTGTTGATATTTTTTACTACTTGCCTCTTCGACATACACTGACACACTTAATAAGCACTTCGTCACTGAATAAAGGGCTGTGTCTACCACAAAATACATTTGTAATCCTTTTATTTACTAACACCTGAAAAAGCGAGGATTGTGGAGAGACGACACTACGAGGTGGCCACAACCCTTGATAAAGGGCTCTGGGCCCAGCACCGTAAAACCATCGAAAAACTCCGCTCTGGCTGCTTTAAACCGAATTCATGCGTGTCGACCCGCACGGTCAAATTTCTCGCAACTTGGCGAACCACACGAAAGCCTCACGCGTCGCTCTTTTGTAGGAGGTGCTGGAGAAGTCTCGTCGAAAGAGACCCCGTGCTTCCACTGAGGGTGGTGAGAGCGATGAATCCGGCGAAGAATCTGCCCCTGATAGGGATATTAGTGCGGCACGCAAACCACGCAAGAGGTTGGTTGTCTTACTAAGATGCAGCACTTGAAATTATTTTACGTGTTTGGGAACATTTTTTACCCCCAACTCTACACATTAAGTCAACCATCTTGTAATTGAGCCAGTTTTTATGTGCCAAACTTTTATTTTGATGAACCATGGAGATAGTTGGAACCTGGACCACTGTTGTTTCTATTGCTTTTCTTTATCAATTTAGCAAAGGAACGCTGGGTGTTTAATCCCGAAGGTGTTTACACACACACACACACGAAGGAGAAACGTAAGAACGTGTCAAACAGTAGGATTTCTTGTGCGCGCATAGTGGCAGAATGCTTTTTTTCTGGGTATCTGCCTTTTTCTTCGTCCTCCCCCCTTAAGAAGGTGGAAAGGTTGCCTCCCAAGAACCATCTGCTCAATTACTATGCACAAATAGGTATTTCGTGGCCGTAGCCTCTCCTTCTAACAGTAATTTCCAGTGATTGCCACCAAACTGCACCAAGTTTTACTTGGTTTCTTTGTTCGACGAAATTCTGTGTAAAACGTCGGTTACGCCGTTCTTCCTTAGGGCACCAACTGCGCCACAGGGAACCTTTGAGTCATCGCAGAGCGGCAGCGACCCCTACAACTTCGATGCAGTGGATATGGATCTTGGAGATGAGAAACCAGGTACTAGCGGACCTCAACTCTCTGAATCGCGTCTCCGTATGCTCTCCACTCTCGTCAGTCGGGCCTTCCAGGAGCGCCGTGTCGAACAGCTTCCAATTCCTGAAGTAAGTTCATAAGCTATCCAGCAAAAGCGACGTAGGTATTGAAGATGGAAGCTTCTTGTTTGCAAATTCGCCGACATTGTAATTATTTGACTGGATAAATTTGGCCTGTGTTAATGCATCCATTTTTAATATTTGCAACTCATTGGTGGTCGAAGGCTCCAGTGCATTACAATTGATGTAATGCATTCACTGTGTGTTATTTGCGTCCCTGTGATCCCGTATTGGCAGTCTTTAGAACTCCTTGACATGAGTTTGTTTTTTTCAATTAACCTTACCTGGCTACTTTGTTCCCTTGCCCCCCTTTCGTGTACTTTCTCAGCTCTTTTGTTGCGTAAAAAACGTTATCTGCCCGTTTGCTTCACGGTTTTTTGGACAATTCGCATGCCTGTGGGCCCCCTGTATTCAGTAAAAACGACTTTCTAATCGACACTCCTATTCTTAACTGTGAGGTCACGTGTGGCTTGTTTGGCTCGATTGTGTCGCCAACAAGTTTGGGGATATCTGTTCGAGAAAATAAATTTCTGGCATAATACCATTCTTTTTATGGTTATGCAAAACTTTTTTTTCTTTCGTTAAGGTTGTCGCGTTTGTTACGGAGCAGACGTCAGAGTTCACGCGAGCTGACATCTTGGCTGGATTGAACGCAATGCATGACTCGAATCGCCTTATGGTCACAAACGACGACGTCTGGCTTATTTAAGTAACATCAGAAGCGTACTATCCTATTTTAATCGTTTCATATATATTTTTCTACTGGATGTGTGTTGTGAATTTGTAATTACCCTCACGTCTAAATTGTGACTACCGTAATAGAATTGTGGACCTGGTTCGTCAGAACCCCGCATAGTTTTGCTTGAATTGTGATCTTTATTGTGTAATCTGGTTACAAAGCAATGATGCTTTTGCCCGACTAGGCACCCAGTTTCACCTCTGTGGCATGGAACTTAATCTCTATGTGAATTAACATTTATTATGTACCAAAATCTCCCCTTGAATGTGTATTGTGCGTCTGCAACGATCTGGAGCAAGGTTTATTTCCACACTTGCAGCCAAGTCTAGCTAGATTCATACGAGACGGTTCCCTTGGTACTCGTGAATAGCGAGGAGCCAATACGTAGTAAGGGGCACGTAGTAGACGCAAATCAGGTTCTTATTCCAGTAGACACCAGCCTTGTTTTGTCGGGTGTACTAAAATATGCGGTCTCGGCGCCAACGGATAGCTCTTGTTTGGGCGCTTAAGACAGGGCACATTGATTTGCTAGCTGTGGGAAGTGAGTTCTTGCCTGTTGTGCTTCTACTGAGCCGGCCCTGAGTTTGAGCGCAACGCGTTAGGATGTCTCGTGGCACGTTTGTGTCACATGTGCTTCGTTCGGCTTCAGCTAGTTGGCTGGACTACCCAGCTTAATGCCAGCGCGCGCATTGCAGACAACCGGACGTCGTAACATCTTTAACCGTTTGCGCTGGTCGGACCACGCAGTCATTAAACTCCATGTGGGCTATTATGCGCAATACAGTGTCTTCAGTTTTTCTGCAATGTGAAGTGACTGACGGTTGTGCTATTATTCACTGAGTTGCCTTGTTCACATTAGTATCGTCGTCATAATTTGATCTCCACCTCCATTCTACAGACTGAGGTTTACAAATTCCCAAATTAGGGCTGTTCATATGCACTATAATCTAGGTGTAGCGGGCCCCGGTGCGGTTTTGGAAAGCACACCAGGGCCGGCGATTTACATTGACAAGGCCCCGACCGAAAGGAGAGTGGAACTGCAGATGACGAGTAGCCCAACCAATTTATTAAAGCGGTAGCGGAGTGTGTGTGTGTGTGTGCAGGATATCGAGTGGGTTTATATGGCGCTTCGCTAAGCCTCGACCTCTGCACCCACGTAGTTGTGTGAAGTGCATTCGCGAAAATCGATTGAATCGTGTTCGCTCAAGCTTGCTAACTGCGTTCGCTCATGATTGATAGTTGTGCTCGCCACAGCTCTCCCCCTTGGTGAAGGGAATTGTCGAATAATCGTCGCCGGATGGTGTTGGGAATCGATGTTTATTATCAGTAAGTTAAGGGGCGTCCGGAGATTTGGCGTCGTCCGAAGGTGATTGGGGTCAGAAATAAAACCTGGCGAAAATTGCGTAATGAAGCTAGCCTGATACATGGGAATGTAGAGTGAAATCTAGATTTAGCGAAAAAAAGGAATCAAGGCCTAAAGTCGGGCGTTGTTTAAGAGTAACTATTGCACACTGTTATTCGAAGGAGGACATGATGACTCGTAAGGTGACTATTGGGACGTGAAATGGATTCAACACGCCGCTTAAGTCGTACCGCAAAAGTGCCAATTGAGAGGTCGTAGGAGGTCAATACGCGTTCGAATACGAGAACGTAGGCATGACAAACGAGTCGAATTGAATCAACGAACCTTTTCTTCCTCTGAAAGGTCAGTCGACGGTTTGGTGTAGTTAATTGTACGTTCGCTGTATGAGGTAGACGAGATCGAAAATTAGGAGTCGAGTCAATCAGATGGTAAGGACAAGACGAGTGTCAATTGAGATCTGTAGCAAAGCACGCAAGAACGAATCGGGAGTCGGTTTGAGCTTACCAAATGATCGAAAATGAGCTAGATGAATCGAGTCAGAGTGATTCATAGGCCATCGAGGCAAAACGTTGATTTTCAGCTTGTATAAGGCCAAATGTGTTCAATAGCGGGGTCACCAATTTGTAGTGGGCCCCGGTGCGGTTTTAGAAACCACACCAGGGCCGACAATCTACATTGACACTGCCCGACCGAAAGAAGGGCAGAAAGTGCTGATGGCGCGTAGCTCAACTAATTTATTGGTGCAGCGGTGTGTGGTTGAATAGGATAATGAGTGCGTTTATATGGCGCTTCGCTAAGCATCGATCCCTGAACGAGCAGAGTTGCCTGAAGTGGGTTCACGAATATCGATGGAATCGTGTTCGCTCGCCACATAGGTATTGTAGATGCTTGTTTTGCTGAAAGTGGTAGTGTCCGTTCTCTCTACTTTGACGAATGCGTTAGCAAAGCACATTATAAACCTGGTTTGTGGAATTCCCCTACACTATTTCCGTCTCCTTTCTTTGGGGCATTACGACCGGGAGACGTCGCATTCTTAGGTTCCTGACGCAATGTTCCGACTATTTGTGAACTGTTTTACAGTTTGTGTAAATCTATGAAGCCGCATTCACATTACATGTTTTTGGGGACTTGACAAGCTCCCACGTTCGGTTACTCCCAGCTATTTGTGAGACTTTAGTCGAGGAGTATCATTAATGTGAAGTGAGAAAGTGGATAAACTTCTGACCTCACACGGCACGTGCCCAATTTGGTGTGCCCCGGTGACAGATCATGGCGGGGGGTGTTGACTTCCCCACGTGCGTTCGCTTAGGGATCTAACGTCTAGATATATCAATCACCGCTAGGCCTCTGTGATTTATGATCTCTTGCGCAGTCGTCAGTTTACCGTCCTAAGGGGAACAGCAGATTATTCCCCTCTTAGCTTGGAGACAGGGCACACGCCAGGTGATTCACGCGTGGGTCAAATACCACAACACCTTATTACGTGAATGTGCAAAAAGTTTATTTTAGACCGTCTGTGGATGTTTCTAAAATTTTATTGCCTTACTTGACGTGTGCCAGGTGATTAATGAGTTCCACAATATAGTCACCACGACATTACGAATCCTTTCGCCGCATATAATTAATTTTGCCTGCTTTCCCAGTATCCAACCTTCCACTACATGGTTGTTGTGGTGCGTCAATTGAATATCAGCGCTTCATGATGTAATCAACTAATCAGGCATTGAATTGGAAGAGATGTTCACACAGCCTGCCTGGCTTTTTAAAAATCCTCGCCTGTTTTTCACTTTAATTTGGTGCGCATTTGTGTGAAATATTTGTTATGGAACTGTGTTTGATTAAATGTATTCTTTAGCATCGGCAACTACACGGAAGCCATTTTGAATAAGTTTGGTAGTGTAACTCCTGGAGGGTGTTTTGGAGCCGTTGGTACTCCAGTATACGAGCACTCTTACGTGAACATCACGGTGAAATGGGGTAACCAGGAGGGTGCTTTTTTCTGGTGCCGGACAGTCCTGTTACACACAAATCAAACAAGCCTTTGTAAGATAATGGTTTTGGTGAAGCCCTGTTGGTGAACCGTCGATCTTTAGCCCATCCAATGTCATTTTTGCCCATATTTCAGTGCCACCGCTCACGTACACTTCTGCTTACACACGAAATTGAAGTGCGCATTTCATAAGTTGGTCTTCAAATAAAGTCAGTTCTTAGTCTCTATCTGCATTGTGTTCGGCAAAAAGAGGTTTTGTACTTGTTATAAACGTTTTTCCGTTACATATTTGCTTACCTAATTGATGTATATCGGTGTAACCCTCTGCGTGTTCTTTCTTAATTCACTTGGCCTATGGTGCAACGTGGTACGATAGTTCAACGTTAATTTGTCGATTTGGGATACGTTATCGAGATTGGTTTTCAGTAAAGACCTTGGAGTTTGCCGAACGAAGAAAAACTGGTCAAGTTTTTCAAGGATGAACGTAACATTCGGGGATAGTCAAAGAAAAACATCGTAGTTCCAGGCTTGTGTGTTATGTTCTTGTATTTGGATCCGCTACCTCAGGAAACCCCCGTCATGGAGAATTTCGTACCCCCCGGGTTGATTCGTAACTCTTTCAGTCGCAACTTAGTGCCTTTTCTAAGGAAATTAATAACTGGAGATGAGAGGAGGAAGTCGTGCATGAATGTCACAGCGCATCACTCACGAAGATACTCTGAACCGCTTTTCGACATTAACCTCATCGAAATGTGCTGGCGTTCTGAAGATAGAGTACTATGTTATAGTTTTTACTACAAAACAAGAGCACTGGTAGATTTGAGACGGTTATTAGGTAGTTCGACCGAAGCTTGCTAACAGCTTGCACATCGTTTTCCAAAACAATGCCGCACGAGCACACACTTCATCGATATTTGTCGAGTGTTACCTGGCTTATCGGTGGGGAATTTGGCTCAAACTTCTATTTTACTGGCCATCTTTGTTGACGGGTGAATCAAATTTCAGGTACTGTCTCTGAGCATATCGTCAACTTTCTTCTTCAAGCAGTTGTGGAATATTTACAAAAGTTAATTTTCGGTTATCGGATAGATGACGTAGTCGAACAAAATTGGTATGATTTTGTCTAATAAAATTTTAATACCTCATTCATTAATCCGCTTCCCTTAAAACCACACGGATTAATGGATAAACCGGTAATGGCTAACTCCATAGATCAGATATTTATCAGCCGCTACATTGTGAAGTGGTGTATCACCTAGTTCACACTACAATGCAGAAGTTTTCTTGGAAAACTGGATATAGGGTCAAATTCGGGACCGAAATAAACCCATGCTTTACCCTTAATTAGAGTAGGTGTCTATCTTTTTAAGTGTCTTTTTTATTGCAGAACCACATAGTTTACATAAGGCCGAGTAAATGTGTATTGTCATTGCTGGCGTTCATGTAATGAACACACAAAAAATCGCGTAAACATTTAATTAAATCGGCACTTTTGCTACCCTTGCGCCTATTGTTGCCTAGAGCCTTTCTGTTTGGACCCAACAGCAACTACACAGACCAATAAAACGCGTCCCAATACCGAAGGGGTTTGGTTTTCAGATTGGCAGGAATCAATCA